GTCTTAAAATAAAAAGGAGTTCTAAATAAGGAAAAAATTGTCCAAAATGCGTCTTCAGTTGACGAACCAACTGACGGTCCGTCAATGGAATGATGGACCGTCGACAGCTTTCGTCGGTCCATACTTCAAATCTTTTTCAGCCTCCACTTTTCAACACTTTCTATTACCATTGATGGACTAGAAGTACAGTCCGTCAATAGACCTACGGTCCATCGATGGCCTCTATTCCTCCATACTTAGTAATTTCTTCAAGTTTGGTACAGGGACTACTTTTTGTTACAACCAACAGTTTACAGGCACGGTCCGTCGATCAGTCGACGGACCGTCGATCCTTCCGTAGCCCCACACTTGATACGAATTCCCCGATTTGGTTTCAGGTACTTTAACCCCCAGTCAACGATCATCACCTAAGGACCATTTTCCCGCAAAAATAGATAAAAATACATTACAGTTTCTACAAAAAAGCTTTATAAACACACTAAACTTAAGGAAAAAGCATTGAGAGTACCGTAAAACACGGTACATCAGTCTTACGAACTTCTACCGGTTATTATTTCCACCTGTAGAATGGACTTTTGAGATAGAAAATTATATAAAGTATATGGATTGAATCTAAGGTCCATAGAAACTTCTATAAGTTGTAGATTGGACCCGTTTAATGATAATTTGATTCATAACAATTAATTTAAATTTCACGGATGAGGACCGTATCTATAGTCCGTAGATCGACCACGAATTGTAGATGGACCTATAGACCATTTTTGTATGTTTTTAAGAGGGATATTTTAATTTTTTTTCCACCCCTTGTATCCCTAAACCCTATTATTTTTAATCCCAGTTAAATATTTAGAAGTATTAATCATTTCTTTTACATTCAGTAACACTTCAATTGTTTAGATCAAAGTTTCCGATACGAGAAAAAAGTTAGTATTCAAGCGTTCTCCGAACTTCATTGATTTCGCCAAAAACTTTGTTCTTTAAAGAATGTAAGGTTGTCACAGTGTTGTGATAGTTCTTCCTCATGTCCTACATCTAATTATAACAAAAAGAGTAATCTAGGGTTGCATCCCTAGTTTTGAGTATTCTTGATATGAGTTTGAGGTTGAGTTATAAGTTCTTAAATTTCTGGGTTTGAGTTTCTCTTCCTAATTATTGAGTTGTTGCATAATGTACATTGGAATTTTTGAGTTGATTGTTCATGTCTATTTTTCAGCATAAAAATTATCAACGAGCATTCGTTGAGTTCTTATATATATTACATGGAGTAGTTTCATATGTTTGATTTGAGTTTCCACTTTGAGTTTAAATGATTGAATTTTTCTTTAAGATGCATATTGCTCGAGTAAGTTTTCCGGTAATGCGTCAGTCAGGTCAAGGGTTTGCTTGGGGGCTAGTAATTATATCAAGTGTCGGCTACATCTAGAGCTAAGGGTAGGGGCATGACATGATTAATTAAGAGAAAAGTTGATAGTATGAAGTCTTGCCCATGGGGTGTGACTGATTATTTGTAATCCTTGGGACTAAGTCTTTCCTCTACCGTAAGAGTAATAAAGTAACATCTTATTATCAAGTCTTGTCCATAGAGCATAACTTGTTGTTTTGAAGTTGTTTTTCTAAGTCTACCTCTAAGTTAAGAGTTATAAAGTATTTCATATGTTCAACATAGTGAAATAGTGTAAGTCGTTGCCCATAAGGAAAAAAGTTATCGTTTTCCCCATAAGTTGACTTAATGAAATTGTGTATCTTATTGTCCATGAGTCACAACTTATTGTGTGAAATCCCTTGGGCTAAATTTTACCTCTAAGGCAAGAACAATACAATAATTTATAAATCAAGCCTCAATGTGGTAGTGTCAAGTTTTGTCCATAGGGTGTAACTTGTTATTTCAAACTTTTTGGTTTATGTTTTGTCTCTTAGGCAAGATTTATAAAGTGTATCATAAGTTATATATCGTGAAATCACGTAAACTATTTCTCATGAGTTATATGTTTTTTAACCCCTAAGCTATGTTTTGCTTTTGATAAAAAAGTGATTGTGTCCCCATATGTTAGACATAGTAAAATAGGTGTAAAATTTTTTCATGAGGGGCAACTTGTTCTTTGAAGTCCTTGGTCTAAGCCATGAATCTAAGTCAAGGTTAATATAACATCTAATAAGTCAATACATAATGTAGTAGTGTCAATTTTTGTCCATGGAGCTACTTCTTTGGATGTTCTTGGGCTAACAAATTATTTGCTTGCACGACCTAGTTATTTGTTGATTTTAACTTTTTGCCTAAGGGTGGAACATGTTACCTGATGTGTTCCAAAAAAACAACAAGAATAGTAAGTTTTGTGGAAGACACCCGGCTCAAAGGTCTAAAAATTACGACATGTACCCCTATATCATTTAACTCTTACTTCACTAAATAACTGAGCCTCCAAAGAAAGAGATTACAAACATTGCAACCTACGGAACTAACTCTAATTGCTTAATTTCAAGTCATGGATTTAGAGTACAACTCTTGTAACCCTATAAACTTAACTCTAATTCCTAACATTTAACACAAACCTCCCATGGTATGTGTTCCTTACTCTTCGAGTTATCACGACCTAAACACAATACTCTTTATTCAGTTTATATTTCACTGAACTAATCAAGACTAATTCAAACAAACAAACTCCTAACACATAAACTTTGTAAAATGATCAGGTTCTTCGATGTATCCCTTCAAATCACAGGTAGCACTTATGGAGTCAATTTCTCAATTTATCTCTTTGCTATGTAAGTGCACACCTATTCAGAATGAATTCATCTCTATTTAAGCACCATTGTTCATAGAGTTATTGTTCACTTCAAGCTTCTCATTGAATTGAACTCTCTTGACTTAGAGTTCTACTTCAAGTAAGACTCCTTCATCAGTTCAAACACCTTGCTACGTTAGACTCCTTCTTCAGATTTCATTCATTGATTCTTTGTATCGTAGTCCAACTCCAACACTTCAACTCAGCAAAAACTTGAAAAGTTCTATTTTAAGTGAGACTCCTTCAATTAAAACTCCTTGCCTATTTAGACTCCTTTTTCAAATCGTACTCATTTGTTTCTTTGATGTTTATTTCCTTGTATTCTCACAAAATTAGCGTTATCCATTTATTTGTTTCTGTAGTCTTGTCTTTAATCGTTTTAAAAGTATTTTCAAATTTAAATGCTTGTGATAGTTCACCTTTAGACCATGTTGACTGAACTAATTTATTTTCTTTGTCAATCATTAAAACAGCATAAATTCAAATATATTCCCCCTTTTAGATGATGCCAAACCTCATCTTTGTGCATTCAAATAACTTTTCTATAGACCCTGATGCATAAAACATTATAATGAAATAGTTTAGTGAATGGTAATAAACACTGCACAACTCATATGTTCATCCTTTTGGCATCATTGAGAGTTGTGTGGCTATTTATGGACACTGTGGCTATCACATCTGCAATCAGTTAATGATTTCATGCAGCATAATAATGTATCATAGAGATCAACATCATAAGTCATTTAAGCAATAGATAATAATTCATTAAACTACCAAATAATGTTGTTTATAAGATCGAAGTCATACTGAATGAAGCAAAAATTATTGAGCACTAATAAAAAAACAAACACTAGAAAAGAGTAGAATAAAACAAGAGACACTAACATTGGAAAGTGAAGAGCAGAATGGAATAGTGTAATAATAGTGTTGTTGACACCCAATTTTGACCGACCTTTGACCATTTTTAGGAATACTATTCGATTAAATACGTATTTTAAATTTTAGAATTTTTAATCGACTTTGCTTGAAAATTATATATTTTAGTATGTTTTATTCTATAAAATTATCATAAATATTATTAAAATATTTTAAAATTATTAATGAATTTCAAATGTTAAAATTTAAATGATTTTCAATTATATAAAAATATTTTAATATATGTAGTATTTCAATTAAATAGTAATTCCTACACTTTCCTTAAATTTTAAATTCTAGCCTATTCTATTCCAATTTCTTTCAATTCTAGCCACTTGAATTAGAGTTTTATTACAATCATAGCCTCTCTTTCATTCCAATTCTAGCCAAATTTTAATTGCAATTTTATCCATTCCGTATCTAACTCATCTAATTTGAAGAAGCCATCTTTTGATCTCATCCTTCCATTTTAATTAATTCCTAGATCTAATCCTAACCCCTCATCTCTTCTAAAATCAATGGTCCAGATTTAATCTACATATTTTAACCTAAAAGACCCTAATCCCTAAAATAATTCTGATTCTCTTCTCCCTCCCTCTTTCAGCCGCCTCTCCCCTCTCTCCTCGCCACTTCCGGTGAAAGCCACCAGAAGAACCAGCCGCCAGTCGCTCCTCTCTCTCTCTCTCTTCGCCACCTCTTCCTCTACAAGCAGCCGCTCCCTTCTCTCTCCCTCTCCTCCATCTTTTCCGGCGAGGGAGACAGCCAGGAGACAAGCAACAACAGCCATGGCGGACAGCATCAGCAGCCATGACCGGCGAGGAGTCAGCAGCGGTCGCCGGCGAAAACTCCTGCGTCCAGCCAGCAGCTGCAAAAAGAGGCAAACGACCACCTCTCTCTCCTAGTCGCCTCCCTCTCGTCGCTCTCGCAAATGGCGAGCAACCAGACCCACCAGCGTGCTGCAAACAACAGCCGCCGGACGAGCAGCGAGCGGCGTCAACCACCAGCCCACAGTCACCGGTAGCGTGTCTCCCTCCTCTTCGTTCCTCTTCCTTCACCCGTCTCCCCTCTCCCGTCATTCCCCTCCTCCCGCTTCTCCTCTCCCTCTCGCTCTTTCTCTCCTCCCCGTTTCCCCCTTCTTCTTCTCCTTTTCTTTTCCTCTTCTTTTTGCAGAGACAGGTAGCATCTCCGACCAGCAGCGTCTCGACGAGACAGCAGCAGCAGCGTCTCGAGGAGACAACAGCATCAGACTCCGGCGAGCCTTGTCTCTTTCATTGTTTCCGGCCAGCAAATTCGGCTAATGAGCGACGTAGATTCTAAACATATCTCAATATTGCGGCTGATTTTAAGATGAATTTCAACAGATCCGTCTGGGTTAGTTTCTGTTTTAGTTTTATTATTATTATTCATTTAGATGTTTAATTCGCTTAATGTTCTGCATGTTTTTCAGAAATATTTTGTTATGAATATAAAACTATATTGTGATTTGCTTGATCTTATGGACTGTGCTAGTTGATTTTTCTCTTGAAAATTTGCAAAGTACATGTGTTTTAGCCATGTTGAAAACAATATTGTATGATAATCAGTTCCTGTAAGTCTGCTAAATGTGATTTGGGTATTTACATGCTAATTGTATATTGGTTTCACTTTGATTATTATTTGTTATGATAAGTCTTGTAATTTTCAATAGTAGTTGCAGATTTCTTATATCTTTTTAAATATTATTGTCATTTTAATTGATTATTTTATATTACCTTGATTGACTTCAAATATATTCTTGGTTGATATATATTTTGAAAGTGATATTTAATTAAGGTAAAAAGGATTGTACTGATTTTACTCTCTACTAGTTAAGGAAAATAAGTTTAATTGATTTATTTTTCCTTGAAAATAAATACTGATTCCTTACTTGTTTGTATTATGGTAATGAATTATTTTTTTTTCTTCTGATTTGGCTCTCTTTTAAAATAAGGAAAAGGGAATATTAATTGATTCCTTAAAAATATTTCTTTTCCTTATTTGTTCCCCCTCCTCTACTATATAAATAAGACCCCTCCCTTCATTACAACACCCATTCACTCTCAACCAAAAATTCTCTCATCACTCTCCCTTCTCTCCTTGCTCTCTTGCTACTTTAAACAACACATTAATATTTCGGTAAATATTCAAGTGCTTTTCTTCGCTATTTTCCTACTTTGTTCGAGTAAAAGGTGAATCATTTGGTTTTGTTTAACAGGTTAGTATTCTTAACATTCATACTATCTTCACATTCACATATTTGTGTAAACCATTGTCTGTTTTTTATATAGAATTCGTCATTAAAGGATTGCATATTGTCTCACCTTAACTAACAAGTGTGGTTACTTGTGTAGTTATTTAATTACTTTGACAGGTTTCATATTTGAAGTTCAAGTTGAAGATTAACTGAAGAAGGATTTGTTTATTTGGTTGAATGTATATATATATCTATATATTTTTATTTTTTCCGCTATTTTATTTATTCGAGTGATGTAACAATTGTAACCCTAAAGATCATATAATAAATTTATTTGGGGGTCGTCTAGGGGAGGGGGATTTACATGCTTATTTGTTCGTTATATATATTTTTTAGAAATCATGCCTATAGGTTTGTCTTTAACCACCTAGATTTAATGTTTATAGGTGTTATAATCTAATCAATTCTCAATTTGCTTGACACTTTTGTTAATGAAGTCTAAAAAATAATAAATTAGATTCCGTTAATGTTAAAAGCAAATCATAGTAACTTAACAGGCCGATTAGATGTTTTAATAATGTTATAATTTTAGCATCATCTTGTCATATAGAAACCATGTCTAAGGTTTAATTTGTCCATATCATTTACAAAATCATTCATATATGTGTTACTCCTTCTTTTAAACACCTAGAAATTCATGTCTATAGGCTTGAAATAACTCTTAGCATATCCACAAAAAATAGAACTGGTCTGTGCATATTTGTGCCCTTCCCCTAAAATTAGTTGATATTATTTCATGAGTAATCCCATTCGTTTTTCTTGAAGATTTCCGCATTCCTTGAAATATGTTATTTTCTTAAGTTAATACAAAATTAGAATCATTTCATGCATTTAACTTGGCTTTAAAACATTTCATATCAAAACCTTGTAACATAATTTTCTTGAAAAAGTCATTATTCAATCTTCCTTTAAAATTTTGGATTGATTTTGACATTGTTTTTTTTCTGAAAATAAATTACAAGTACTATCTCCTAACCTATCATTAGTGGGAAAGTCAAAGGAACTATGAGGTCTAGTTCCAATTTTTTTAAAACCGACGCATCCTTGGAAGTACCACCTACCCATGAATTTCAAAAAGAATTATGTGCATTTATATGTAAATGTTTATGTGCCTACGTGTGAACTAAATCTTTTAAATCATTTTTTCAAAACATAACTATTTTTTTATACCGTCCTCAAATCAAAATTGTTTCTATGGTGGAGGAGCGCGATCAATAATATCGTGGCATCATCCCTATAAAGAAACAAACATTTTTTTTGCTCAAATTTTCAAAACCTTACTTTCTCAAATATTAATTGTTTAATATTTATAAATTTTATTTATAACTTAGTCTCATGCTTAAATAAAACTTGATTGTTTATGTATTGCCATCACATAGCGTTGCATGCTTAATAAAATAGCCTTAATTGTTTTATATTTGTTATCACTTAGCAAGCGTATTAATGAATAAATTAAGAGACCTTGATTGCTACTTGTACCCCCACATAGATTGCACGAGATACGGCCGGGACCCACACTTGTGGACCTCGAGGGATGCCTAACACCTTCCCCTTGAGGTAATTTAAACCCTTACCCTAATCTCTGGCCCGTTGACCTTAGTTGGACTTAGTTAGGTTATATAGGTGCCCTAACGCGCCTTAATTCGTTAGGTGGCGGCTCCAAAACTCAAAAATCCCAAAAGAGTTGTTAGGTCATGCACAAAACCCGTTTTTTGCGAAAATGGGGCGCGACAGAATGGAGACTCCGCTGGGGATATTAGGTTCTTACCATTACGTGTTAACTGCTTATTTATGTGGGGTTTATTTTATTCATTAGGTGCTTACCATGTTTAACTTATTTTGTTGCCCTATTTATTATCTCATCTTCATGTTCCTCCCTTTCCCTTTTCCTTAATTGTTTATTATCATGTTTCACCTCTTCCCTCTCCCCTTATTTGTTTAAATGTTTAATCTCGTATTCTCTTGCTTTATTTGCGTAGTTTTAATATCTTTATATGTCTACTTTCCTTTATTTATGCTTATTTATTTATTGTTTATAAACTGCCTATATGTTACCGTTTTCCAATTTAAATGCTAACTGTTTACTGCTTTAATAAATTGGCATCCCGCTCATACTTCCCCCAATTGGGACCCTCTTCCTTTTTTTATTTTGTTCTCGTGATGTTGTGCCTTTGCACCTCTCACAACTACTCCAATCTTATACAAATACCTATTATAGAGAGTCGGCATATGCGTGGACGTAGTGGATAGTTTTACTACCGCGAAGCCACGAGTCTCTCGCATAGAATCCCTTTCAAGTCCGTGTCAAGCCAACTCTTAGAAGTCCTGGTTAAGTCATACATGCTGCATAAGCCCTAGGAGGTTTGACCCTTGGTGTCAGTCCATGTAATTAGTAGACACCTTCTCGTCTAAAGGGCCCCAACACCCTTAGACAAATTGCATATTTATGTGTCAACGTGATCATAATAATTAAATTAAGCCAACATTGCCAAAATGGAGTTTAGAAGTTGTTTGTTACTTTGATTGCAGAGTCATGGCTCACCCTCACTTTGCAAACACGCAAATGGTGGTCAAAGTTAATCCCATTTTGAAGACTTGGTGGAAAGATATTCAAAAAAATCGAGAGTTAGAAGCAAATGAATTGTTAGGCGGCCTCACTGCTTTGAACTCCGTAGAGTCAGATCGTCACTTAATCAAGGCATTGTTGAAATTCTAGGACACTGAGAGGTTAGTCTTCAAGTTCAGGGATTTTGAGCTAACTCCAACAATAGAAGAAGTTGGAGGATTCATGGGTCTCGCATACAAAGAGTTGGAAATGATTGTTCCACACAAGCCAAGTCCAAGATCTTTTCTGAAGCAAATGGGCATGTGTCATAATCCAAATCTACTTTGTCTGAAAGAAGGTTGGATTTCTTTAGAGTTCTTATATTCACGCTTTGGGGATGAGGAAGGTCATCAAAACTTTCATAGAGAATTTGATTGCTCTTCTGCAAAATGGGAAAGGTATCATCTTAATGCATTCGCTGTCGCCCTATTAGGCTCATTGGTTTTTCCTAGGGAAGGAGGAAAGATCCACACCGGCTTATGTTATGTGGTTCGTATGTTGGCTCGAGGCGGGAAAACCTTGGTCCCCATGATACTCACAGAAATTCTAAGAGCTTTGACTGAATGCACCAAAGGCAAAAGATACTTTAAAGGGTGCAACATTCTGCTGCAACTTTGGGCCGTCGAACATTTCTACCAAAGAGCTAATAAAGTAGACATCGTCAAAGGGACTATGGGGAACAAAATTATCAACCATCCCCTAAGGATGAAACATTTTATCTCCCCTGTGGGAACAGAGGACTGGTTCACATACCTAAAGGAGCGCTCAGCCGTTGAAATCCAATGGAAGTATTATTGGTTGAAGCCACGACGTGCCATCATAAGAGGAAATGAACTTTACTTCATTGAGCTTATCGGTTTGAATGGTGTGCAACCCTACGCACTACTTCGAGTCCTTCGACAATTCGGACAGATCCAAATGATACCTCTACGATCCCACATGAGCCACCATGGATATGACTTTGGGTCAGAATTACCGCAAGTGAACACCATACTACGAAGATGGAGGAATGTGATAACTATCGATGTTCAAGAGCACCGACCCTTCTGCACACCTGAATATTATGTATGGCTTTTAGAAGATGCAGAGCATAGAGATTTGAGCGAAGGAGGTCTTCCTGGTTTTGGCAATGAAAAAGAGAGAAGATGGGCTCGCAACCTCCTCAACACAGATTATGACATTACCCCAGAAATGAAGAAGCAGATTGTGCCTAACATTGGAGAACAACATGATTAAAAGTTTTTTATTATTATTTATTTCTCTTTACTCCCCATGTGTTATCCCTAGCCCTTTAGTTATCTTTAGATTGATGTAATAAATAGAAATTATTTCAATAATCGAAAGTTGTTCTATTATCTAACTATAAACTCCAAATTGGCAAATAAGGCTTGAATTTATTATTATGCATCACTTATGTGTCGCTTAGGCCTACCTCTGGCTCAACGAGGTTCCTTGCATTTAGGGCGTTTATTTCAAAACAACGTGTTGATGTTCTGAAATTATCTTAACCCCTAACTCTTTTCTTTTGATTCTATTGTTTTCCCATTTCCTAAGGTTGATCTGTCCTTCATCCTGGCACATACACGATCAAAAGGGACCCCCCCTTCTCCTTCTTCTCAAAGAGCAAGCTCAAAAGACAAAGGAAAAATGGTTGACGACAACAGCACCACTGAAAGGGTAGAAGCTTCTGAGGGAGGACAACTTCATAGTAATCTTATCCTAAGACTCGAGCGCAAGATATCGCAATTGGAAGAAGAGGTAGCCAGCATGCGTGATTTGGCCAAGTTGTCTATCTCTCTTGGAACCCAATTTGGAGAAAACATAGACAATCCTCCTAATCAAACAGCAACGCCAGACAATCCTCCAATCCATATATCCCCACCTGAAACCATTTGTCCAAATGCCTTTCCACCACCCCACGCCCAAAATACCTAATTTCCATTTCACCACTATTACCAACATACCAAACCAACTGTACTAGAAACAACCCCAAACACAAATATCCCATATACTTTTGGGAACAACAATCCCAATCCCATATACGTTGAAACTGCCCCTCTGACTCATGGCCTCCATGAGTCAGAGTCCCATCAGAAAGACATCTTAATAAAAACCCTGACTGAGAGATTAGACAACTTGACCAACAGGGTACAACACGTGGAAGGAAACAAAAGGTTGGGAGGATTGGGCTATGAGGATCTGTGCATGCATCCTGATGTGGAACTGCCCGAAGGATACAAGCTTCCGAAGTTTGAGACGTTCAATGGCATTGGGGATCCCAAAGCCCACCTACGAATGTATTGCCACAAACTTGTAAAGGGTGGGGAGAGATGAGAGGATACTCATGAAGTTGTTCATGAGGAGTCTTACTGGGGAGGCCCTATCATGGTACATTAAGCAAGACTCGCGGAAATGGATAAAATGGGTTGATATGGCAACTGACTTCATGAATAGGTTTGGTTTCAATGTTGAAAATGCGCCTGATTGGTTTTACATTCAGAACCTAAAGAAGAAACCGAGTGAATCCTTCAAAGAATATGCCATAAGATGGAGGTCTGAGGCGGCTAGGGCCAGACTCCCTATGGAAGAATCTCAAATGAAAGACTATTTCATCCGTGCCCAAGAACCACAATACTATGACCGAATGATGCTGGTGGCTGAAAAGAGTTTCGCTGAAATCATCAAACTAGGCGAAAGAATTGAAGAAGGCATAAAGAATGGGACTATCATCAACTTGGAGTCTTTACAAGCAACCAACAAGGCTCTGCAATATGGTGGAATGACAGAGAGTCGAAAGAAAACAGGTTCTGTAATGATGGCTCATGGAACTAGG